ATCGGACAAAGGGGAAACCCGATAAGCTGCCTTGATGTTGTCTATAAAAGTCCAACTTCCACATGTGCGTCGACTGATTACAGGTGTGCGTCATCCGGGCACTTGACGACAAGAGGTAGGTTGAGGAAGTGATCTGTTTGTTGGGCCGTGATTGTGTGAATGGAAGGCGCTATTTTCAGAATTTCCTCGCAATCCTGCTAATGTCGAGAACATTACACTCCAGACATTATTGCGCTTCACCTTGGATTCAAAAGATCCGAATGTCAGATAACACAAATAGCAGCATGTGTATAAATACCTGATATTCTGGAGCCAGGGGAGCCGTGGTTCGCCCCGTGAGGCGGGAGCCCTAATTCGGCGACATTCCAACGCGCTTGGTATCCATGTGTGTTGATTACAACTCTACCACACAGGAGAAAACTTATTTGATTAAATCTGTGCTACAGTTTCATATTTCTTATCGACCAAAACTTGTCATCCAATACCAGTTTTAACTTGCCAACCTTTTGAATCTGTACATTGTCAAGAACCATTTAAGCTGAATAGAATCGGCAAAGTTCAATTTTCAGACGATTTCTATCATGATCGAGATACATTATACACCAATGTACATAATGGATAAAGTGAATGTTAACAATAGAATTCGTAAAACCTGCAATAAGCAACTATGCTTGAATAGACGCGCCTTCCTGGGCGCCGGGTCTTATAGACTCGCGAAATGAATATACGCTTGCCTTGAGGTGAGGTGAAATTGGGTTTAACGTCGTGCTTGAGAATATTTCGCTCATATGACGACGTGCATGCATGTGTATGTACGGCTGCTTGTATACTAGCCCAGACTTAAGCTGGTTTTTATAGTGCTAGCCCACTGAGATACCATGCCGCAGTGAAGCATGAATACCCCACTCAGACACCTTATACTGACTCCGAGCCGACCAGTCCTTGTTGTACCCATTAATGCCAAGCGCCAGGCAGGGACCAACAAGTACCATATTTTAACGTCTTTTGGTATGACGCGGTCGGGGATCGAACCCGCGACCTTCCGCTCTCCGGGCGGACGCTGTAACCACTATTCCACGGAGGCGGTCCCGCTTGCCTTGAATGGACGTCAGTTGAAAATCTCCTCTCACACATATTCCTTTAGTTTAAATGATACAATTTAATCCTTTTAATACAAAATACAAACCGCATGTGAGCTATTCGAGGAACTTCAAGACATGTCATTTGTTTAACAAACGTCTGGATACAAGTGATGAGTGCAGTGACAGATGACAATGACTTAAGGGTTTCCTGCAATCAGGAGGGGCCGCCTCCGTGGTACCCATTAATGGGTACAACAAGGGCTGGTCGGCTCGGAGTCAGTATAATGTGTCTGAGTGGGGTATTCATGCTTCACTGCGGCATGTTATCTCAGTGGGCTAGCACTATAACAACCAGCTTCAGTCTGGGCTAGTACAAGCAGCCGCACATACACATACACGCATGCACGTCGTCATGTGAGCGAAATATTCTCAAGGACGACGTTAACCCCAATTTCACCTCACCTACAATCAGGAGGACATCCTCAGAAGCTCGGGTTCACTAATGCCAACACATTAACTAGCCATGCCTTTCCAGTCCATGAAGAACCGGCACTATACCATCATGGGATCTGGCACCACCACGACACCTTCGGGCCTCGCATTGTGAGTGAGTGAGTGAGTTTGGTTTTACGCCGCTTTTAGCAATATTCCAGCAATATCACTGCGGGGGACACCAGAAATGGGCTTCACGCATTGTATCCATGTTGGGAATCCAAGCATTGTGGTGCACAGGGCTCATTGTAGTATATTTGGTTTTGGTATGTACTGCAGAGGTTGGACCTGTGGGAAATGTGGACTTGTTTCACCTACATGCTATTTCAGTAAGGGCATTGCGGAAGGAAAATTAATATGGTTCAGGGACTGTGAGACAGACTGGAGAACACCGAGAAGAACACGTTGGCCCAGACACGGTGCTCGCCCACCACAAACAACTGACCGTGAGATTGAACAAGCGCTTTCAACCCCCAAAGATGCAGATGGCGCAGTTAGGACACGACTACGATAGCTTAAAATCAGCTTCAAGAATTGCTCTTATGGCAGTCGTAATTTTAGCAGGATATCGCTAAGAATTTTTCTAAGATAATAAGACAGCTTCGTGGAAAGGCCGTAAGTTTCGAGCAAGGTTTGAGACCCCTGCTAGACATTAGTCAAAATGAACTCCTTTCTGATTATGAGCGGAACTGTTATCGTATGTCTGAAAAGGTCACATGAGTGAAATATATCAAACTTAACTCGTACAGTGTAATAATATGCATGTAGCCATTTGTCTACCAGAGGGAGCAGGACTTCAACAGTTTATTTAAAGTTTGAAGCCTGTAATTGTGAAATCACTGGTGCATAAATCTGGTTATACAACACTGTCGGGGACTAGTCACATGCTGATGAGGTAACACGAGATGAAGTCGGGATATGTCCCAGGAAAGTATTTAGCAACCTGAAGGTCAGGTCGATATGACAAATTATTCAGATGTATCATATTTCCTGACTGAAATGCTGACCAGGATGTGAATAACGTCAACAATACTTGTAGCAGGTATCAGTTACATTCCTCGGTTATTTTATCTTGACGTAAACAAATGCAAAGTTGTCTGCATGAATCGACTGTATTATTCTCTAATGCCAAAATCGACATTATTACCCACTGAGTAGATAAAGGTTGTCAGATTTACCATGTGTGCGATATGAAGATATAACTCCACAAACTCCAGTAGCATGGTTTTAAGTAATTTTAGCAACTTCCCAGCAATATCATGACACAAGAATTTATTTTACTCTTACGTATTCTAGGGTGCAGGTGTTGAGGGTAACATGATCATTTCCTAAATATGCAGAGTTTGGGTGCCCAGCAAATGGTGAATGGGTTGGGTTTTTTATCACATACCGTAAATCCTTGAAAAAGACTCGAGGTTTTCTTCTTTTCGGAAAAGGCGTCTATTCATTTCAGGCGTATAGTTTCTATTAAGAGTTGGATATTTACATCAATCCTTGGAGGTTTTATCCCTCTTTCTATACCTCAAACTGATACTGTGTACGACATGGATCCTCACAGACAGCTGGTATAATTTACGGCATTTTCACTCTTGGATACCTGCTGGAGTAGTTTCATTTCGAATAAATGACACTTTGGGGATTTGTAGACAGGTAAATTCGTTCAGCCCTTTACATGTTTACATTTAATAGACACAGAAGCTCCAAGCATATCTAATGCTCAAAGAGTCCCTTTAAGTCTCAGACATTAAGGTTATATCCGGTTCCCCATGATCTGTTGGCACCACGGGCTACATGGCCCGATGTTTATACCCACGTGCCCTTTACTGACCACTTGAGTCAGGAGGAGGGAGCCAAGTCGGTGTTTTCTCGAATGTCAGAATTTATTCGTCAATAATCTTGGCACGGGAAGAATGTCTTTAAATTTAGCCACTCGATGTTTCATAGCTCAGCAAGTATAAATATGTGGTGTCTATTCTGAGATAGGATTTATTTGTGAACAGAACTTGGGTTTCTATATAAACTGCGCTGTACGAAAGTGTGCCATAGCTGTGTATAGACAGGTGGCCGTGCTACCAGACAAACACCCGGGTCCTGGATGTGTGTTTTCAAAGTGAACAAAAAATAATTATATGAATGTTAGATTCCAAACCTTTAAGCAAAATATATGTGAAAAATGGGTGTGTGTGTGTGTGTGTGTGTGTGTGTGTGTGTGCGTTTAATGCGTGTGGGCGGGGTATATATGTGGGGGGATGGGGATGGAATTGAGCCGGTCATCAAAATATACCCATACCTGCCAATTCTCACGCCTTTGGCTTGAGACTTACGCATTTATTACTAATTGCACGCTCTCATGCCAGCTGGGTTCATATGAAAAGGAAAAAGAAAAATCCATTTAAATCACACAAATAGGTCTGAATACATTGTTTTCAGTGACTTTTCTGAGAAGCGAATTTGCATGTATGCGTTGGCTTCCCGGGGGCTTTAGGACCTGGATGGAGAAGACGGACCTTGGACCTCGGCATCTTGGAAGTTCTGTATACCGTATGGACACCGTCAATACATTATATCAAACAGCAAATGTTCACACTGACACAGGTCCAATAATGAACAAATATATCGAAAAGCCAGTGACAGCTTCCTAAGTTGTCTGAGAAGCTGTGATGTTTTTGCCATCAACTGATACCTAGCTGAATCTTCCTCCAATTATCCATGTGTGCTTCCTATTTTCCCCGAAAGAAGCATCACTGCAAGTGATATTCAACTTACCCTGCATGTCTACACGCGCCTCATAACCAGCTACCTGTATTGGTGTTCCACGAGAGCAGGGTGGGTGGCACTCGGTACCACGACCGGCTATTTCCGGTGAAAATCCTTGTAAATGCATAAAGGACCGAAAAGGGGCGAGATTGGCCGAAAGGGTGTGTTTAAATGAGTTGGTACCTGATAAAATAAAACACTGTAGCACTGAATCGGGCAATGTCATGGACGACACATGTATCCCGGGTTGTTTAAAGGGATCTCTGTGTCTTCAAATACAGAAGTCCATCAGTGGGTCCACAACACTTTATTCGTGATTCAATGGTGTATAATTACATGATGTTACAACAATGACTAGGCGGCATGTCGGAGGCGATTGTCAGCCAACCTGCCTAGTCGCTGTCTCAGGGTCAAGTCTCGACTAACTCAAAGCATTCTCAATTTATCCCTAAGGGTCTGATCAGACTGTCACGTGTCGCATTTAGGACAGATGTGTGGTCAGCCTGCAGTATCCCGCACCTCATCCACAATGTCATGCTTCAGTGGCCAACCAGCCTTTGTCTAACTTTGATTATGCAGCTAATGACTCTATGGTGGTGGCCATGATGACAATGGTCAAGCTGTGTTGATTTCATTTCTATTGACAGCATGGCCATTACTTAGAAAGATATCCAATTTACATAACTCAAAGAATATCATAAATATCCCTGATAAACACTGTTCCAAAGTGCCTACGATACATGCTACTCCGTGGAACGACAGGCATTCCACAAGCAGAGACTGGGATGTTGTATGCATGACTTTTACATGGATGAGTATATATACTAAACAATATTTTTCGAACGGAAGAGAGGGAAGTACGTTGCCAATCTTTGCTCCCTTCGCTCGCATATAGAAATACTTGTCATTTTTCTCTCTGTTGCGCAACCTAATTTGCGCTACAGTTTGCCGGTGCATGAATGAACTGACCCAGGTACTGCACCAGGAATTGTCGTGGATGTCAGCGTTGAAAATAAGATGTCTGATGGGCAGTATGAGACGCCTCGCTAATGGATACTTGAGAAACTGTCAGTAGTGATTCCATGGTTGACATTGTTCGTTGTTCACAGCATGATGTGACAGTTCGTGGTGTGGGCTCTGTGCTGATGCCTTCCAGAGTTGTTGGAATGAATATTTGAAGACTTCCTGCATAACGCCAAGCATCGGTACCGATTGCCAGAGTCAGCTTTATTATTTGTGTGATGCTAGTGCCAGGGGTTTTCTTTGTCAGCTTACTACTCTTTTGTCGTGTTTCCGACAGTGAATCACTCCAGTCATTTCTTAGCACTTATCTGAAAAGGTTAGTGGTGCATAATTAAAACTCCTTTGCTGCAACGCACCCTTCCGATCTATTGTTTATCCTTGTCTATTTTGTCATCGTGGCCTTGACAATTCGTAAACAAGGAAATATCTTCTTTTAAGCCAAGTTAATTTACATCGTTATCTTGTGGTGCAATATCACATCACATATATACTGCAGCTGGTAACCTACCAGCTGTGATGAGGCTGATAATGTTTCCCTTTCTCTTCCTGTATGATACAGGGACACCCCTCTAACTGTTGAGAACGTCTACATTCACTCATTGTGAGTAAGCTATTCTGGAGATCTGATAAAAGCAACGGTCTAACTTCTTCCTTGTGATCTGGTCCAATGTGTGCTGCCAAGATCGGCCGACCTAACGGGTTAGCGAGGAGAAGATAAAAAAACGACCGTCCATTTTCGTTAATCGTTCGCAAATCTCTTGTCACAAAAGCCGACACGTTCTCTATGATGCAACTGAGACTGGTGTTTGCCCCATAGTCTGTCGTACAGACCCTGAAGCAAACATATCCAAGAAATCCCACGCAAGTCTAGAAAATGTGGCAAGTCTAGATTTCCTCAGCTTCTGAAAATGAAGAAAGTCTCACGGCTCCTTTTCATTATATTATATTTTTACTATGAACTTTTTTCAGTAAAATATGTTCATTTCAGAGACTAGTTGTTAGTCTATTTGCCCCACTGCCAGTGACACTGGCGAGATATTATAGCCACATCGCACTCATTCTTCTGTTGTCCGAAGGTGTGTACATAGAATTTCAGGCAGCGACATAACAAGCTGCAATACTGTTTCATCAAGGTGGTGTACCTCTATGACGTCACTTCCGGGTTTTCTCATATCTTTATACGACATAGATTAACACACTTCTTAGCAGACTGACATTATGTTATGAATTAGGAAATCTGTTATTACACACTAAATGTCTCTGTTCTATTTTCTCTGTTGAAGAGAACGGTTTAGACTTGTTTGTTTATCATGGATACAATTTATAGTTTGTAATACTGGTTTTGTTTTCGTAAAATACATACAAGCTGCATGGATAAGTTACAAGCAGCGTTTAGACATTCACATACACCAGCGCCTTGAGCATGCACTAGCTGCCTAGATATGTGCGCTATATAAATATCCTATAATGAAAAAATACACCTTTTCAAGAAAACTGTCTGGATTAATCCGTGTAAATTTATCTCAGCACTGTGTCCTTTTCACTGCATTCATCCCAGAAACACCATATGTTCCTGCGTTAATTTTGTATTTGATAAACTGGCATTGAAGGTCAGTGATGCAATTACCCTTAAAATCTCAAGATTTACTTTACTAAGCGGTATATTTACTGAAAATGATATATGTCTTACGGGGAATGCCGTCTGCATTCGAAAATAATATGAGAGGATTTCTTATCAAGGTCAAGGTCACCTAACGTTATTGTTACCATTTGGTGTTGATCTGAGTTGAGCTATATATTTATGTCTTTCCATCTGATTACAAGGTGATATGGAACGTTTACTGAGATTTGTTTTCACATATGTGCTTTTCAATTTATCAAAATCCTTATCTGTTCTCTGGCCTGTTCAGGTTTGTACTGAAATATTTCACTGATTACATTAACTGAAGATCATGTGGTTCAGATAAGGGTAGGTCCTGTACTTTTTGCATACTGCTCCGTGGTCATTAGCGTGAGAGAGTGAGTTTAGTTTTTCGTCGCTTTAAGCAATATTTCAGCAATATCAGGGCGGGGGAAACCAGAAATGGGCTTTACACATTGTACCCATGTGGGGTATCGAACCAAGGCCTTCGGCATGACAAGCGAACGCTTTAACCACTAGGCTACCCACCGCCCCCGTAGTCATTACAAGTGGTCAATTATGGACCAATCGACCACTTCTAGTCATCGTCTTACAGCGTGGTCAACGATTTGTTTGTTGTTTAACGGGGAGGTGGGGTAGCCTAGTGGACCAATCGACCACTCGTCTCTTTGCCCGGGTGCGATTCCCATCGTCTTACAGCTACTTGGTCTCCCCGAAAGTCATGAAGATTTGTTTGTTTGTTGTTTAACGGCGCACTCAAGCTAGTATTCTAGCTATCTGACGCCGGTCTGTAAGTAATGAAGTCTGGCCAGATAATCCAGTGATTATGATCAATACTGCTTATTTATGAAGAAAAATAAAAATATCTATTTCAAAATAAATTGTATGTCATTTTTCACACTGTTGGGATTACGTCCGCTATGTGCTGACATTTTGACCTATGGGATTTCGTCTTACCCTCGATTTATAATATGAGCAACATCCTACTACAGCGGTGTCGGATTACATTCAATCGTCCATGTCACCAAACCCGTGGTTCCAAATCTGTGGTTGCCATCCATGTTTCCGGGGACCTGTTGTGTACCGGAACCTAGGGACAACACACAAACGTATTGATAATGATCCAAAGGGTCCACCTGCCTGTCAACCAGTGGACACTGACCCGCTTCTCAGGCTCACATAACAAGGTCTATGAACAACTCATGGCCACAAAAGTTATTTCACATTCTGCTTCAGATATGATCCTATTTTCTCTCTGTTTCCCTCTACAATTTACCAACTGGAACTGGAAGTACAACTGTGTTCTATCACTAAGGCCCAAAGATACACCCATTTATCTACGATAACAGGACCCGGCACTCATGACAATCGCTTCCGATATCACTGACGTTGAGAGGTGTAAAGTCTTTAGTGCCAACGTATTGTGACCTTCATCCTCCCGACGGCTAACCCCGGTGGTTTCCCTAAATTAACAGTGAGGCCGGTTTTTTTGTTTTGTTTTGTTTTGTTTTGTTTTGTTTTGTTTTGTTTGTTGTTGGTTTTTGGGGGCGTGGTTCTCTCAAACAACATTAATATATATGTAAGCTGGCGAGACCTTCAGTAAAATAACAACAGTGTATATAGTTTCTATTTCTCTTTTTACAAAATACATTTTCAATGCAGATGACCTGCTATTAAACAACGTCCTACAGCATACAGGCAAATCGTTCAACGAAGAGCTATTATCCCACATTATTTAAGATTATCATTATACAACGATCGACATGCAACTCCCGTGACAGGAAGCATATCGGGGGCGCTCTGCATCAGTGATAGAACTAGCTTCTTATGATGAACATATCCGAACAACGTCGTTCAGTGTCTAAATGTTGCTGCGACTGCAAAGGAGGTTTCAGCCACATTACTCAACGAGAACTTCACAGATTGTATCCAGAGCCTTACCTATTTATAATGCCATAATAATATACCGAAAATACTATCTGCACTTAACCTCCACATGGTATGTCTCATTATATTACGCCAGCCTTAGCTAATGGCGTTGAAAGAAGAGCTAGCTGCAGTTCACGTCGTGTGTAGACGAAAGGAAGCGTTGTGTTCAACAAACATGGCGGATCATTAGATTGTTGACGGGGCAGGATGTCGGTGTACATCAGAGTGTTGAAAAAACACAACTTACAAACGCAAGATGCTTCATAGCTGAGTTTTACGTTTAAGTTTAACGTTCCTGTTTCACGTCTAATTTTTTAATTTTTTTTTAATTTTATGTATTTATTTATTTATTTTTGGGGGGTATTTGGGTTTTTTTTGCACGTTTGTGTTTCAGGTTTCGGTTTCGCGTTTGAGTTTAATGTTTTTGTTCACGTCGTTGATTCACGTTAACTTTTCATGAGCCTGTTTCACACTCATGTTTACGCAGAACTTGATATTATATTTAGTAATATGCATTTTGGTTTTGAGACACCTGATCCAACTATTCCACGGTAGACTAAACAACAACTCACCGGAACAGTTACAGTTAATTAAGCTTGTAAACACTATTAATTTTAGTTCGTTTTGACCGTAGCTGTGCGCATTTTGACAAAAGTTTACAGCAATTGGGGGGACAAAAACTATAGCTCGTTATATCCGCCAGTTCGTTATAACCGCATTTTATTCGACTGTGGGCCGGGACAAAAACTACAGCTCGTTATATCCGCCAGTTCGTTATAACCGTAGTTCATTCGACTGCGGGCCGGGACAAAAACTACAGCTCGTTATATCCGCCAGTTCGTTATAACCGTTAGTTCGTTATTCGACTACGGGCCGTCAGATCACATAACTTCGTTTATATCCGTCAGCTTATAAGCTCGTTATATCCGCCAGTTCGTTATAAGCGTTATATCCGTCAGTTCGTTATAAGCGTTATATCCGTCAGTTCGTTATAACCATAGTTCATTCGACTGTGGGCCGGGTCAAAAACTACAGCTCGTTATATCCGCCAGTTCGTTATAAGCGTTATATCCGTCAGATCGTTATAAGCGTGTTCGTTGTATAAGTTGTGTATTGTATTCGAGTTTAGTGCGGTTTGTCAATAACAGC